TTAATTAAATTTTTTTTTTTTTTTTTTTTTTTTTTGAAGTTCGTGGCTTTTTCTTCTGCTCTTCTCTCCGATCAGCCCTCGACACGACCTCCTCTGGACGTCCCGCGGACGTCCAGCCTGAAGCTGGTGTCGACTATTCCAAGAACGAGAGCAGCTGTTAGAGTCTTGGGTCATAGGGTGCTCCTGCACCCGCCCCCCCCCTTCCCGGGCGAGAACGGGCGGCGGACGTGTAGATAGGGAGGGCGAGAGCAGCGGGAAAAGAAGAAGAAGAAGAAGAAGAAGAAGAAGAAGAAGCGTCTCGCCGTCAGGATGGCGCCGTCAGGATGGACGGCGTCTGCGCTGGCGGCGTCGCCATGCCCGAAGTAAGGCGGGACATCCTGCCAAATGGTGTGCGGGTTCCCAAGTGGCCCTGTCCTCGGGGGCGCCTCTCCACTTAACAAGATATTGTGCCTCCTCCCCAGTCCCTCGTTGGTCCATGATATAGTCGACAAGATACTGGTCCGTAGGGTTGCCGGCGTCGTCGCGTGTTGGAGGCCAGCCCACTGGGGCTTCGCGTGGGACCAAAGCGGGATCACGGGGGTGATGGGGAACCAATTGAGAAACATGGAAGACATTGTGTCCCTCGTATGTTGGGGGGAAAGCAAGGCGGTACGCGACCGTGCCAATGCGTTCAGTTACTGTGAAGGGCCCCCAGTATCTGGGTTCAAACTTAGAACAATGGTTGAGAGCAGGTAAGTGTTTGCCGCTAAGCCAGACTCGATCGCCCACCTTATATTCCACAGCTTTGCGGCGGGCGTCAGCGTAGTATTTCTGACGCCACTTAGCCTGGAGAATGTGACTTCGTGCGCGATCGCAGAGCTGCCGGAAGAGTTTCGTCATAGGGGGAGTGAGCGTAGGGGCCAAAGCACCAACAATGTCTAGGTCCGCCGCGGTTAGGGGATTCTCCCCAATCATGATTTCAAAAGGGGAAAGCTCAGTAGAGGAATGACTGGTGGTGTTATACGCTAGCTCCAAAGCTGGCAGCAGGCCTTCCCACTCCTTCTCGTCAGCCTGGATGTACGTGCGGAGCATCTGTTCTAGGGTGCGGTTAACTCGTTCAGTCTGGCCGTCCGTTTGCGGGTGGTAGGAAGACGACATCGCCCGGGTAATATTGAAACGTGAGCACAATTGTGACCACAGTTCCGATTGGAAACGAGGATCCCTGTCGGAAATGAGGACTTCGGGAAAGCCGTGGTAGCGGATGAGGCGGTCAGCGAGGAGCTCCACAGTGTCGGCGGCTGAGTGGGACTTCTTGGCCGGAATAAAGTGTGCCATCTTACTGAGCGAATCGAC